ATCGTGATTTTTATATGCCCTAAACTGATTAATCATCGCTAATCATTCAAATATCAGTAAAATGTGCACAAGAAATATCTATCCTAACAGTTGATAAAACACTGAACACAATGGTAACCCGAATCACGCAGTTACCAATTAAACTCATGCAATTTAATACAGTGACGGGTGGGTGAGTTGAACCCCTTTAGTTGCCAGATTCAAGTATGAGTGACATTAGACCTTAGGGAGGGAAACCTCATACAACTCCAACTACTGGTGAGATTTTCCCCATCAGATTCTGTTGAGGGAATCATATGCACCAGTTGTACACCCATTATATGCACCCATACGGCCTGATCACACACGGAGCGACGAAAAAATACACAGATAGTAAATTTGATGCTATGCTGGCTGGAATCAGAACCGAGGTCATCTTATTCTGTCAACTAACGTTGGGGTTCAGCTATTCCTCATGTTTGATCACTTTGCCCCAGGTAGTGACTCCGCTGTCCGGAATTTTATCACACATGGTAAGCATTCAATAACTGGGGCCAATTTACGCAGTGCTCCTAATGCCGTGATCCCACCGAGAACTCGATAGTGCCGCGGGATCGGTGAATTAGAACAACTTAATCAGAGAAATCACGTGATTTGACGGTTTACGGACACAGGCTTGTGTGTGATTCTAGAATCCTTTGATTTGTTGTTGCGACTAGTTTTTTTCGTTCTCATGCACGTACTACCAAAGAAGTAGCAATGACACTGGAAAATAACAAAAAGAACACTTGTNGTCGAGATAAGGGTCTCTTGTTGAAGGTGGGGGGACGTATGGGGAGGCAAGCCAGAGATTTGGGGTTGATGTCAACCCAGTCAACTTTACTAAATCTAAAACGAGCCAGGAATAGTGAGAGAGAGAGAGAGAGAGTAGTTGGGAGCGCCAAGCTGCACGTATGACACGCTATACAGAACGAGGCAGAATCACTTGTTCCCGAGACCGATGCAAATGAGGGGGGGCGTGTAGTACGGGAGGGAGTTGTCTTGGAACGGAACAACATCCGGACTTGAGTCATCCTACCCAGTTCTCTTTCCCATAGTCTCACAAGTTTATTCGTTTTATCGCCTCCCTCTCCAAATCACATACTCACACATACGCACACAACGTCCAACACGCCCTGTTTCTGTCTCACATCGAGGTGCGCGCACATTGTCTGTTAATAGAATCTGCGATGGCAATAGACTGAAATGCTCAGGAGAATAGTCAGAATTAGAACCTGGAACTGTGTGACGGGGAGCGGGGAGAGACCCTTCCGGATACGTTGAAAATGTATATGCGCTTGTGTGTTTGCGTGTGTTTGTGTGTGTCTGCACACCAATTGATGTGGGTTTGACGCTGTTGCGCACCCTTGCACTTATTATTATGCCGACTGTAGACTATATACATCTAGTGTAGCTGATTTTCACAAATACCCGCATTCATACTGATTAGCTCCCAGTTTCTCATTCATACAACAACAACTACTACAAAAACCAACCAAACAAGACAGATTCAGTTGCGTTTATTTTCACGGTCGGTCGCGGGTAAGTGGGCGTACATAGGGTGCGGGAGGATTGAGACCCGAAGGTCGGCAGATTGGTGACCTTCACACTTTTTTGGAAACAGCAACCCCTCTGCCCTGTTTGGGATATTCCATGCGGGTAGTTATGGTCTGACAGAAAACAAGTAGTATTGGGTGTCTACAGTTCTCATCATTTCGGATGTTCTCTGTCTCGGCGGCATGTTTAGGAATGATACGGAGTGTGTGTATGGGTTGGGTGGGGGATCGAGTTTAGTGGACCGTGAGCAATATCCGGTGGCCAGGTCAAAGGGATGCATTTCGCGGGTGAAAACTATAACAAACGTTTCAGCTAACTTGTTGAGGTGTTGCAAAATACTGAGGACAACGCCACGTAATGGTCACAGTGTGATAGAAAAATCACGGATTTCTACCAATCCCTGCATCTATTATGGCTGAATTCGTATGCAGTAACCATACTGTCTTGGACCAAAAGTGAAGGATTCAGTCAAATCGAAGTGCAGTCACGATAGCTGTTTCGGGGATTGAACAGTCAGTTCAGTTGGGGCACAGTACACAAACAAAGCACTGTTACTGAAGGCGCGATAAAGTGGTTCGCGCAATGAATGCAAAGCTGTTTGAGTTATTCTTAACTCTCGCGCATTTTTTCGATACGAATGCAAGTGTGTTTGCACGTTAACAATAAACCAAAAAAAATGGGAATTTGATCATATAAATTCAACCAAAATCGACTGAAATCGATGCGAATTCATGAAATAAACTCCGTGAGACAGTGCCGTTGGGCATACAAAGCAAGACATACCGTCAGAGGATGAAGGGTTGTGGTTTGTTGGTAGAGCACTTCTTACAAGAGGGACCCGCTTATTTTGAGAATATTAACGCGATTTATCTATTGTTTGACGTTCATGGTGCCACGGATCTGGACAATCGACTTGAATGCGTCAGAATATATAGCCTCGAAAAGGATATGCCGTGTGGTCTGACATAAACCGAGTGGTATGAAATGAAGTGGTTGAGAAACAGAAGGTTCTAGCGGAACAGCATCGAGAGAAAATTTTCAAAGGAAACAAGCAATTTTGAACTCGAAGGGGCCAGACGAAGAAATGAGCACGACCTACTCACAGACAGCAACAGTGCGATAATACGCACCTTAATGGATATATTATCGGTGTCGGCAACCAGTGGAAAATCATAAAGCATTATCCTAACATGCGATTACAGTGCTCCATTGGCGATATTTAATCCACCTCCCAGTAGTTCTTCATGACTTGGACTCTAGTGGTCATGTGACAAGGAGTATAGTTTCTTTAATTGGAACTATCGATCAGTTCCTAAATCAAAATCGTAAAATACAGATATGAATGGCTGACATGACAATCAACTGAATTCATTCCCTTTGCCCTTCTCATTGAGTATTTTTGATTCCGCAAATTCGCACGCACAGACCATGCTTCCAACTAAATTGACCTTGAAGGTAGGGGTAAATCGTGGTATATGTAGTTCCAAAATTGACCCTCGGAAACAAGCATTAGAAACCAGTCGTTGATGCGTTAAAGCGTAAAGACGGTTTCGCTAAAACAGTGAGCTCCGTAAGTTTAACGAAAATCTTGGAGGAAGCACCCCTACCTTCCCTCCGAAACCTCTCACACACCGACCAGGAATTCAGCACAAGCTCTCAACTAACTGAAATCAACAGATCAGTCCACGGAGGGAAGTTGTTAAATACATGGGTAACAAACAGAACGTTCGTATTTGAGGTGGAAAAATGTCTCAACTATTGAGAATATTAAATCAAGTGAGTAGACAATAGGCACATCGTCTATGAGTTACATTGTACGGAATAATTGGAAATGTGCATCACAATGCTTTATGAAGAGACCGAAGTAGAAACAAGTAATAAATATTGACTGGAACTGACTATCCATCAGAATTTATTGTCACGCACAGTCCTCAACTGTTCTAGTTAACCATACACTCGGAAGCACTAGACTCGAGTTTCGCCCTTATCAGAGCTCATCAGTAGTGCATATCCACTGTCCCACTCCGGAAACGTCGTATGGAAGGTGTGTGTTACTGCTGTGCACTACTCACAAGTAACTCTGAGTTATACATAAATTCTCGATTCGGCCTAGTAGGTCTGTGGCTAGCCAGCCTGTAACTTGCACGAGAGAACTGATTTCGTATGAGGCTTTCGATTAGAGTTAACAGATAGTCACCGTGTTTCCCTTCGTTGCTGTCCGAGCAAAACTGACTGACTATCACTGAAGGCGAGACTTGAACAAACATGAATTGGCAATTCAGTTCAGCCTTGGAATGAGCTGGTTGGCAAAGTGGTAACACACACATGCCCTCCATGCGATGAGTTCGGAGTTCAAAGACCGGACAGTTGGACGGTGGATATGCACTAGTGCTGAGCTCTAATAATGGTAAAATTCGGGTCTAGTGCTTCTGAGTGTATGTTTGACTGGATGATCTTAAGATTGTGAGTGAAGGGTGAAGTCCGAAGGATAGTCAGCCCCCAATCAATATCTACTCATATGAGGTCCAGCTATGGTCTAGATGCTGAGGACAAAATCGGGGTTCATTCTCATAGGATCACAGGATCTATAGAATGAATGTTCGAATAAAAAGCTCGACGGTGATGATGCAATATACAGAAATGGATTGATTTGTGCTCGTTTTCTTTCCTATTCGGAATGCATGCTCATTCAGCTAAGTCAAAAGAGAGAATAATCATTGCAGATAGAGCCCAGGGGTATGGTGGATAGCACACAGTGATACCGTATAAAATAGCTAGTTTTCATACATCGATGCTACACTCATCCTCAGCGGAAAGCAATCCAAGCAATCACTACGACAAATGCCAATCTCTCTCCCCATACAAACGTTGAGTGATCCCAATTCGGTAGTACAGATTTCTTCTTCTTGAGTTGAAGCCGTCATACATTTTATGCGTGCCCACACAGTTATTCAAAGGGCCGACAGACAGGATCGATTATCAAAAGGAGCGATCAACTGCAAAAGCAAGCGATACATGCCTCCACTTTCGTTTCAATTTGGTACTGAAGAACCGCTGGTTTCTTCCGGGTGTATTCATTCCAGTTAAGAACAAGATACAAATTGCTGAAATATTGCGATGAGCTAGTTGTAATTTTACTGAAATGTCTTACGAAACAAACGCGAAACAGCAACAACGCTTTGCTGAAATAATAGATTGACTGCCCCTTGTGACGTCGACGGAAAGGTTGAACAGTCAGTCGTATAGACCCGTCCGATGAGGGCAAACAGGTAGCAGTGACACCTTGCTTGATACGGACTAACAGACAAACTCAATGATATGAGGAACTGGTTGCGTGAGGAGTAAACTTACAGTCCATTGCCAATTCATGATTCAATGTTTTCTAAAAACGGAAAATGACATAGAAACAGATTGATGTTTGAATTACGAATGAGTCAGAAAAAACTAAGAAAGAAAAGGTAAAATAGAAGAAAGTGAACAAAATATGGAAAAGTTTTCAACTGAACAATCTGAAATCAAACCAGACAACAATGTTAAAGAGATTGTTTTTTCAAATGTCTACAACTAATTGTTCACGATAATCTCCTACGAACACAAAAAATCTCAAGAATTTCAGTAACATCAGACAGAGAGAGAGAATCCACGAATATGAGAATGGAAATGTTTTATTCACTCCCGATAACCGACCCCCCGCTCACCTTATCCTTTTGAAATGCATCTTGTAATTCAGGTTCCGGTCAAATTCAACTGTGGCAATTTCTGTTGGAACTGCTATCGGACTCGCGGAATATCGCATGTATCACCTGGGAGGGTACTAATGGGGAATTCAAGCTGGTCGATCCAGACGAGGTCGCCCGACGTTGGGGTGAACGAAAGTCCAAACCAAATATGAACTATGACAAATTGAGCCGAGCACTGCGATACTACTATGATAAAAATATCATGAGTAAAGTGAGTACCAGGGTGCAAATTGTATTTTTCCGGTTTAAATTTCCCGGCCCATTACTGTCATACCGACGTTTAGAGAACCTGGAAATATCAACTTTTTATGGCTACTTTAATTAGTGAATGAAATGTTTTTTTTTCTTGTATGTTTGACCCACGGTTTATACCGTATAACATACTTTCTAAACGAGTAGTGCAATTTGGAAAATGAAAACAAAATAATCATAACAATAATAATGGTACTATTAACAATAATACTAACATTCTGACTAGTGAATAAGACAGCTATCGTTTGAACTATAATACAATTTCATTCTGCAACCAAATTTCAGTTTCCAGTAACATACTTGTATATGGATAGCTATCAATGAACAGTATTTATTCCTAACTTTATCTCCCACTGCAGTGTTCCTGGTTCTCTTGCATCACCGTTTGAATTTGCGTGACCAGCAGTTGTGATTTGAACGAAATCAAAAACTTTTCCGTGTTAGAAACGGAGATAATTTAACTTCCTCGACATTCACTAGGGCGCGGAGGAGACTGAAAAATGTTGTTTGACGGTCAAATTGATGTCGTCCATGCAAAAAGGACTATTTACAGGACTCAAAAATAAAGAAAGACAAATGGAAGCACAAATGCAAGCACAGTACCAGTCTCATGTTCATGATTCATTTTTAGAAATAAATTCTAATGATATGTTTCTACAGTGGCTTTGATATTTTGCACCCGCAACCATCATCGAAATTAGCAAATCATGCATTTTAATAGCATTCGACTAATGGAAGCAACAACATTCGTGGATAGCATCACAGATATGTGTGGAGTAGCATCACACCCAATCTCGTGAGTGAGGCTGGGCAGGACCAGATGTGATGAAATTCAGGGTGTTGTAGGAATTCGATCAGTACCCGTGGCATTTGATTTAGTCACAAAGAAAATGTCAACAAAATAGAAAGCAAATTCAAAGTCAAAGCTTCATTATGGAAATTACTTACAAGCTCATGCTTCTCTTGTCCCCATAGGATATTTACACAATTGAATCGTTTCACGGCGAAAAGAGTCACATACAGTTCCAGGTAGGAGTTTATAGAGAATGTAGGCTTCAATGAATTAGCGTTTGTTTTAATGGTGTAGGAATGTGAGATGTACCAGTGTTTCATCGAGTTTCTGCTTGAAAGACTCAATAGTTCGTGCACAAATGACGTGAGATGGAGTGGTATTCCAAGTATTGCACCGGCCGACTGCAAAAGATTGGCTCCGGCATTCCAATCGACACTTTGGAATCATTAACTTGAAACGGTGTCCCCTAAAGTGTACATTGTTCGATAACATGAGCAGCTGCCGACATGGATGGTTTGGGTTCTGCACTATTGGATAAGTCAAAATCAGGTCTCCCCGAATTCAGCAGTACTGAGCAGAAGTTGGTCCCAATGAACCTAATCTCTCCTTTAAGGTGATGACAACATTTCAAACTTCTCGGAAGTCCTACACTTTGTCCATCCAATCAGTTTCTTAAGAGGTCAGACTAAAAGATGATGAAATACAATCTTCAATCCTAAATTTTGCGCAGCTCAAACCATGCCGACGTCATCCTCTGTTGCGATGTGTTCGTTTTGGGTAACCCTAACATTACAGTCCGGTAAAAATAAAGCCTACGTTTTCGAAATATTAAGTTGGGCATCCATAGATAATCAGCTGTACAGTAGTAATTTCTCCCTTAGGTATTTTAGTTTTTTAGTCCACTTGAATATTTCAAAGGAGAAACTCGTCGTGTATATAGCAAATGAAAGGGGAATTGAAAAGCTAGGAAGCACTGGACAGCTGTTTCGACCTGGTTGGGTTACACCAGCAGTGGTTAGCATGCTTGCGTTCTGCCTGTGAGGTCCCGGGTTCGATCCCCAGTTGGGTCGACAAATTCGCACTGATGATGAGACCCAATCAGGTCGAAACAGCTGTCCAGTGCCTGCTAGCTTTTCATTTCATCTTTAATTTGCTATATACACGATGAATTTCTCATTTAATCAAATTCTCCATCATTCACATTTGAAAATTATTAAGAATAACAATATATCAAAAGACGGCGAACAAGCTTGTTTTCATCTGCACGCACTGACGGTTGAGTGTGTTTGAATATAATGTAGAAATAAATGTGGTTGGTTCATCAAGTTAAATGGGAAAGGACGACAATGTATGGAAAGTTCTACAGGGACACAGGGAGAAAGAGAGATGAAAGTCAGTTCCGGAAATTTCCGATGATCTTTTATCACATGCGACGTGTCACGCCATTCTACGTCAGCACAAGGTGATCGATGTCATGGCTCGTTTCGTCACATTAGGTTGGGACGGGCTCAAGGGATCTGATGTGCGGCAATCATTTTCTTCTGTTTGCACAGTGTTGGGTTTAAAATTTTGGTTTTTATTGTCGCGGGTACTAATGTGTTCTACTGCATCCTATTATAAAAAGCCCATCAACGTATTGGGGTCTTATCTGCCTTGATATTCAAAGCCACAGGGCTTATATTACCTTGGGTTTTGTAGCGACTGTTCCTCACTCAACGCTGATTGTAAGATAGAAAACATCCTACTGGTTTAACTTTTGTCCACATTTCTGTTCAAAAAGTTTTTCTGTGTATTGCTGACCAAATCTATATGTGTCCGGAAGATAATTGCTGATAAACACCGTAAAAGAATTTTTGGCAGTCGCCCAAGTCGTTAATAGTGTAATGGCAGTGTGTTTTACTAATTAAAAGGTTGCTAATTTCAATGAACCTTTTGTTAATGAGGGGACTTAAACAGCTATCTCTTCCGTATCCGAACTCATCAGCAGTGTGCTATTTCTCTATCCGCACTGAGATTCCATTCGCGGAATTTTGGTGATTCCGAGCTGACGTCCGTCTCACCCCGGCTACACCATCGACAACGAACACATTGAGATGTACTACACGACTGGATTGACACCCACACCCACACACAAACCTTGAACGGATTGTAGAAGAACATGCGTGATGAAATGCATTTGTTATTTGGATCTGTATGCCCCATACTTGCGTAAAGTCCCATCGTTCTATGATCCTGATGAACCTGATTAGTTGTCAGAATAGTCTGTGACTGATCTCTTGACTGTGACGGATTTTTGCTGTTGTTTTTCACCTCCAAACAGATATATGCTGGTCTAATCAGGATCACCGTTCATCATGTTTCTCCTTTTATCAGAGACAGCATGCGATCAAGTAATACCACGTTTGGAGGTTCCAGTAGAAGTTTACCTCATCTACTATCTCCATCTACTATGTTTTTATCCGGTTTATGCCCAAGTGAAAGTCAGACTCGTTTCATATTTGTGGGGCACTCAGTCGAAGGGTTGAACTCCCTTGTCAGGAGGACTTAATGGTCATACATGATCATGGACAACCTGAGCTCCGGGGTTTGGATCGACTTACAACTGATGGCATAGCACAATCCAGGAACAGTGAGACAGTCTACAAATAAAAAAATGGGTGCAGAGAGAGAAAAGGCTACTATTTGTTTTTTCTACCTCATTACTTGCTTAATAATGACAAAAAATCTTGAAAAAGGTGAGTAGCCATAGGGACGTTAAACAACAAGCGAGAAATAAAAAATTGTTCATGTCCACCATAAGCCCGCATAATGGTGCACCGTAGGACAGATTTATACGTCCAAACTCCCATCACACCATGGTGAACACTAAAGAGTAGCATTGTTCCAAAGAAAACGTTTCTCACAGCATTAGTTACGCCGGGCTCCTGACGTTTTGCATTCCTTATCCACTGCAATTTGGTAACTCCATCAAATTACATATGAATGAAGATTATGCATTGTATGATAATGCGTAACAAAGTTTCTCCGTTGCAGTTGCACAGACAAGGCTGAAATTCACGCAACACTAAGTTTGGAAGGAATAAATGGCATCGACTCTGTACACCGTCATCACCATCATCATCATCATCATCATCATCTGATTCATTATCATTAACAGAAATAACAGCAATTGATTTAAAGGATTAGGAACTATGCTGCCGCTGCTAATTGACTCCATTCAACGATTTCTGAAGGTCAAAGTATTAGCTGTTTAAACAACACAATAGGTTTGAATGTTTCACCTCAATCTTTTTGTTTCTCAAATGAAAATCCTTGAAAATAAGTGAACATTCTAATATGACAACAACAGTGGGGTAAATGATTTCACATCCTTATTGTAACATCGATTAATGGTGATAGTTTATTGAAATCTGCTTGTGTTTCATTTTTCACGCATCCATTACACCATCGGATTAACTTCTTTCCCCGATTGAACGGCCACATTTATTTCAAACAGTTATCATTTTTTGTTTACAATTTACTATTTTTCTTCAAACTAGTCAAATGCATCGCTCATTTTCATTTCACTCCGATTATATTATTCACGTGACCACAGATTAACGGAAAACGATACGCCTACAAATTTGATTTTACCGGTCTCGCTCAAGCCATGCAACCACCGACCTGTGGTAGTCCACCCTCATCGGATGCGTTGCTCAGCAACTCGCATGCCTTGTCCTCTTTACTCTTGCCCGGTGGACACGCACTGGGCAATACATCTCCTCATCCAGGTCTGGTCCAGTCGTTAAGCTCAAGTGGAACAGCGCCTTATCCAACCTTCCTGTTACCCAATCATCATCAATTCCCGTCGAATCCACCCACGCACCGATTCAATACCAGCCTGTGTGGCAATTCCACTGGAGACACGTCGATCGGTCTATCTGCCTATCCTTCCCACGCAACGTTATCCTCCCCCTACTCAGGTTCCCTGTACCACGTGGATCAAAACCCACTTGCCCCGGTCGATTTTCGTGCCCAGGCGACACGGGCGGATTTTTCGACTCCGAATCAAACTGGGGATTTGAGTTCAAACGCGCAAACATCGCTTGCAACCGGTAAATCCAATTCCCTCTATCCCTATTCGCATGACTTTTTCCATTCGGCCCGGATGGCTGCGGCTGCTGCATGCCTGATCTCTCCGCAACTGGGTACTGCTACAACAACCGTTCTCCCATCAACATCTAACTATTTGTTATCTCATCAGACTAATTCACCGACAAGTGGTGGTTATCTTTCTTCTGTCCCTTCGTCTTCATCCTCCTCTTCGGTTTCTGCCGCTGCTGCTACTACTTCTACTGCCGCCGCGTCTTCTCGATTCAGTCCATCTAGACATCCGGAACTGATAAAATTTCGGAAGAAAGAATTCACCAATTCGGTGATCGCTTCCGATGCTCTGAGTGG